GAGCTATGAAACCTATGGAATAACGCCAGTCCAGCCCAGGATAAAGCAGGATTTCCGTGGATCACAGGAAATTCTTCGTGATATTCTTCCTTGAGTCTGTCTCAGAAGGAAAAAAAATTAGATAGCCAAGGATGTGACTACATCGTTGGGGGTAGAGCTTACCATTTCTCGATTAGTTTTATATATGATATTTAAAATAATGAATAATAATATATTCAATTAACTATGGTTTCTGAAAAATATACAAAGTATTAATAACAATGTGTTACATCAAGAATGAAATGTTAATAAAAACAATTTCATTCTTGATTTTTTTCTTACTTTTGCATATAGAATCCACCTTGTAAAAGTATCCTACATTTTTCTTAACACCCTGGCTGAATTTTAGCTAACCTATACTTCTTGCCACATAGAATACATTCAAAAATTCACGATGTATATATAATTTTTAAATACAACCGCTAATATAACTGCTCATAACATACTACCTCTACTCGTACAAAACTCTAATGTCCACATTATAGATCCACATTTAAATTAACTGTTCTCTCACTAACAGTAATTGTTTGATAAAAAAAAGTGGGGATCTCATCGACATCACAATATAGATTATATTCAATTAACTAATCGGGGTTGATTATAAACTATTATACATATTGGAAAAACGGAAATTTCATAAGATACAACTTAATACAGTAAATTATCGATAACTGCTCGGACAGATCTGTACGTAAAACACCTGGAACAATGATTACAAATTACACTGTAATTACATGAAACCACAAGGCAGAATAATTCCAGTCGAAACGTTGTCACAAACGCTGTCATCTGAAACAGCGATTGTGGAATGAACCGTTTCTCACGATTGATCCCGTCACGCAACGATTTCAATTGAGTTATTAGCGCGGTGAAAGACAATGGTCGGTTTGGAATACGCGAATTCTATGCGTACCAGTCTCTTTCCATCAGCGGCAGTTCTAAACCAAGGAGCACTCAACTTACGGAGACTATGGACAAAGAGACCCGCCGACACAATACCCGAGCACATTCTACCGAGAAAATCGAATTAGTTACTTTCGTCGAGACTCACCTCCGGCCCTTTCCTTATGAAGATTCCCGACTTTTATTCCTCGAGCTTCTCTATCGCCTGTCTTATGGCTGGAGCTTCCCGTGCTGAGTCTTTTGACCCGTAAATTCCGTTGATCTTTGATAAGAAATTTAATTACGTTTTACTCTAAATGATTCTGAACAACAAATTAGACGTCTACCAAAAATTTCGAATACTTGGGAAAAGTCAATTAAACATGGTTTTGAATTTGAATTTTATTAGGTTGAGTCATATATACATATCTTCTACTCTTCCTTTCCAAATTCCTGTTGTCCGTAAATAATTTACATGGCACATTAGTCTATAGAGTCTTCTGCATCATTATTAGTGAAGACATTTTAGAACTTCGGTAACCCGGAAACTCTGATTCTTTCTTAAACTTTGCAGGTTCGTAGGGGACCCAATAGAAGTAACAGACAATTTTTCTTCTTGCTATTTTTTAGTTCTTCAGGGTGAAACATCCCTTAAAGTTTTTTATATGTTCTCCTAATTTCCAGTATATCTTTGAAAATATAATAGATCTGCAATAAATTATTGGGATGAAAGTTTAATGGCTTCTTATACTTTATAAACCTGTGTAACGAAATTGTTAAAAATTTGTTGTTAAAATAAATAAACAAGTAAGCAAATTTTTAATAATTTCATTGCACAGCGTTATAGAGCATACAATCTATTATATTTTCCCCCCAGCAATTTTTCTTATACTGACTATAATTTACAAGGTATGCAAAAAAATAGAAGAACATAAATTAATTTTTAAGGGGGGTTTTCAGCCTGAAGAAGAAAAGCGTAGCGGAAAAGAAAAATTGCCTGATATTTTTATCGAAGTTCCCTACCGACCTGTAAGGTTTCAAAGAAAGTTGAATTTTCAAGTTACCGAAGCACCCTTGTAAGTTACACGGATTTTTCTGAAAAAAGTAATTTTCTTCACCCGTGAAAGCAGTTACTAGTAATAATATAAACAGAGATTATTGGATGATTTTTATACACTCATCACTAGTGAACAAGTTAAAAAAAAGAATCTTTCGACACACGTCTTATTCTACTTTCTTACAGTTTCGTAGAACTTGTTAATGATGAATGAGGGACACTGTACAGTAGACTAAGCAAAGGAAATTAAGAATAAGTATTACTTACGGATGGCTTTCCGCCAACTTTCCGTAGAATATCATTAAAGTACCGCAGACGTTCGTAATCAAATGCAAGGAGACATCCCTAATTACCATATTCCCGGTTTCGTTCCACGCCGAACCTGCACTTTCCACAATTTGTACCCGTTAACCTCCTTATTTGCGAGACAACATTTGCCATGCGTCGAGCGACTTGCAAATTAACATAGCGTAAGGCCAACTATTTAGACAAGTAGTTGAATGCGCACACATAGAATCGCTATCATACAGGGTGTCTCTGATGTAGACAGAGGCACTTACAAGTAATGGTTCAAATAATACCGTCAACCCTCGAAGGAAGGGTGACTGAATCTATTTGGACCGAGGACTTCAGAAACTTCAGTTCAGCTTACAGAAACTAACCAAAGCGTACGGTAGTATTTCATAAGAAGACCAGGATATTTTCAAGACATTCCCCAACAATACAATAATATTGGTTAAATATTTTTGTCAAATATTTTTAATAACAAACAGCTTTAGTTAGTTATTATATAAAGAGAATATCTAATCTACTAGAAAGTTAGAATCAAAATAGTGATCATCTTGCTAAACAGAAACGGGTGACGAATGCTACAGGTTTTGAAATGACGTAGGACTACATTGCCGATTACAAATCTATTAACATCTAACGAACAGTGAAGAACTGATGTGACAGACCATTCATATGCTTTCATAAAGAAAACCCAATAAATTTTCAAATTTCTTACAAAACAAACATCAGAATATTCCACGATCGAAGGTGTTCAAGCTCAAAACTGGTAGCAAAGAGAACGATCATCGACTGGTAAGAATTCCTTATAAGAAATTTATATATCGATCTCAGACCTTCGTTAACGTATACTCCAAGACACCCGGTACATTATCGTTTCGTGTTACATTAAATTCCGTGTAATTCCATCGACGAACAACGGTTCGAGTAATACGCTGTACACGTCCAGCTAATATCATCGGATCGATGTTCGTGCCTATTAACATTTGCATATTCAAATTCTTCTCGATATATAGTTCGATCATCGTGCCTGGGCTATCGGGATCGGCCACGTCGATCCGTATTCCACGCGCCAGGCATTGCCCCCTGAGGCTGCTTATGTGCGCGGCGCATTGTCCACGATCGTTCCCATTGACGTGCAACGTGTTTACCAGTTGTATAAGATAATTACCACCCAATGGCGAAGTGGACAGTAGCTTCTCTTGTTCATTAGGCGAAATTTCATTAGCGTGCGCGCGCGACCGAGCGATCGATTTGCCGGTGATAATGCGGTAACGTAATTAGGGGATGTGTTCATCTTGGTCCTTTCACTGTTTAGAATGTGGAACTAGTCCATTGAGACGGGGAACTTTTCGAGACGTTGTCCGTTCGAGAATGATCTTTTTGACGGCTTGGAACGATCCGACAGCTGTGTCGACGAAGTTTCAACGCTTTGTCTGGCAACACCCTGTATATCGTGGGAAATTGTTCTCGAGGTACGTCGGTTGAAAATTTGACAGACACTCTGGCGGAGATTCTGGTGGAAGTTCGTTACTGGATAAAGTGTTATTGGAATTAGTGTCTGGAGATTTTAGGGGAACTTCTCGTGACCGGCCATCCGAGAAGTTTACCGCGGGGGGGGGGACGTAACGGTGTAATTCCCTTGATTATTCCGATATTGGAGCAACATTTGTTTTGATGTAACCTTGGCTCTCTGAAGACATTGCTAGATATTGTGGTTGGGGATATTATTAGAATGAATCACTGTTCTGAGGAGAATGCAGGTTTCATGCCAGGGATGAACTCTAGTACTTCAAGAAGTTAGACGATTAAATCGTGCAAATTTATGGAATACCCTTTGACTCATATTGATGAGAAGCGAAAATGTGTACATATTAAAGGTTACTGAATTCGTATTGAAACGCACTACCAAGTGATCTAAAAAATACATATAATTCCATTTAAAAACCAAAAAAAAATAGACCGTTAATTAGCCCCATCGTGCCATTCAACTTTATGTAAACTATTCTCTCGTATTTCAAATAATTTAGGAAACAACGGACTGTACAGTGTTACTGCGGACACCCTGTACATACCATATAATAAGTTCTCTATGATAAATTATTCTGGTACGGGTTGTACACACATACAAATTAAGACAATATTTGTTTTTTTTATTTCACACAACCACAAGAGTCTATACTATGGCCGCCATGGAAAGGAAATTTCGTTAAGCACTCTCACAAACGAACTGTAACTTGTAAAAAACACATTGTTTTTACTTTATAAAAATATATCATACTTTCCAAATATTATTTCGTAAACATATATATTATTCAAATTGATAAGTTCAATAGTTTTTCTTTAAAAAATTCCCAAAAATTGCCTTATTATATAGCCGTCACATTAGCGTAGCCCCTTAACTCTTTGAGGCACACGATTTTAAAGAAAATAAAAACCCTAGTTGCACAGAATTTTTGTTGATATAAAAAAAATTATATAATCATAAAATATTAAACTGTATAACTATGAGTAACTTCAACGTTTCAAGGTTAGTTAAAATAAATCCCACCATGCATAAAAAGCTAAGCAAAAGGTGTGACAGTTTTTAACCCACCTAACCTTAAAGAGTTAAATGATCAGAAACTGGGTCTGTAGCGGTACGACGCAACAGTTTGTAATGTCCAGCCAATCGGAGTCACTCGGCTAAACCGTGTCCATCCAATAACAGTCAATTTCCCCACGTCTGTTTCAGGGAAAGCGTGAAGAGCGGGCACCACTGTTGCCCGTGCCAGGCCCATCCGCCGTTGGTTCTCGTCACATCGTCGCCGAGCACGCGGATAATACGGCAGAGCTCGCAACCGGAAGCGTCCGCGTGCTGTTGTTCCGGATGTTGTTGCCCTCTGCACAGCGGCACAGCGCCGAGTGCTGCCTCCCTGCGGCAGCTACGGGAGCCCGGGGACGGAATCGCTGGCATTGCTGCGGACTCGTTGCGGATCAATGGCGGGATTCGACAATTCCGACAGGTAAGCCTCTGACTTCATGCGCTACCGACCAAACAATAGGTTTGCCGTGCACCTACCCAACCACCCGTCGCACCATCCCCTCTATGTGTCACACATACACCGCCACCACCATCCGTCTCGTTCACACCATCCCCCACTATTTGGATTGTTCTGAACCACTCGCACTTCCTTCATGTATTTGTATATCATGCTTTCATTGCGTCGCGATAAGAACCTGGATGCTGCCGACTTGAGAGGCCTTCCCCCGTCTGTTCGGGAATTTATAGTTCTGTTTTCTTGAGAAAAGGAATTTGGGATGCGAAAATATTTGTCACGACAGACTACCACCATAAAACAAAAGCTTCGTTAAACTAGGTTAAACATCTTCGTTCATTGTATTTACGTGTGCTGATCACCAGACAGCCTGACACTTTTTCCGAGTGATTCTAAGAAATATTTGTAGATGAAAAACTTAATGAAGTACAAAAGGCTAGAAACAATTAGAAAATTTTACGTTCCCGTTGCAAGGTTTAATTTCAGTACACCACTGGCAGAAAGTATCGCCTCATTTATGCACTAACGGGGCTATATTCTTTGCCAGTAGTGCACACGAAGTCCACTATCTCGTTATTGACAAGACAAAGGTTTGAATAAACCACCAACTACTGAAACATTTACGAAACCACGTGTTCCATTCGTTATAGTGACGTCACTGGTCCCTAGTGTTATCCCCTTGAGGAAACACTGTACAGAATCCCATAAAGCATTCCAGTCGGCCTCGAGCAAATTACATCACGTTCTCCCTTCGAATAATTTCATTCAAGAACGGGGTCGTGGAACTCGTATGGCATCCCAGGCAGCATCCAGGACTCTTTCCGCACGAGTCTGTTCGCTAGCTCGCGCGAATACACCGAGGCCAGAGAGCTAGGAACGTTCCTGTTGTTTTGGCGTCGCTGTGTCGTTGTCTTCGTTGCTTGTATCGTTGATGGATCCCGTCCGATCGGTGCTCCAATACCCAAAGCACGCGTCTTTTTCTTTGTTTTCGCCCACACCCTTCTCCTCCAGCGAACTTATGCCGCGCGTTGCACGTAGTTGGATTGTGGCCCGTGTGTCTCCTCCGTGTTTGGACCACCACTGTTTCCGCTGTCACCTTGTTAAAACGCCAAACCCCGAAGGAATTTCAATTCTCCGCTTCGCACACGCGTGACTGGACCTAGACCCAAACGTTTTCCACGTTTTTCCTTTCTTTACTCTCGCGATTTTGTCGAGCCACGCTCGTCGTGGAAACCCGCGTGGACACTATGCAAGATTCCTTGGAATAGAGAGAAATTGTAGAATCGTTAGTAGATCGGAATTTTATCGATGGTAGAAATTGGGGGTAGGTAAATTAATTTCAATAGGTGAATGGTCCTTGAATTGGGGTTGTAGGGTTTATTCAGACAGAGTGGGGAGGAGTGTATGTTAGAGATGAAAAGGAGGAAACGAAATAATGGGTGCTTGTAGGAAACTTCGTTTTTTGGGAATATGGAATTTGTGATTTGGTCGAATATGCCTTTGGATAATAGATACTTGAATATGTCTACATAATGCCTGAGTATATCTATTTTGGATAAACTGAGGCGAGTGACTGGTCTCCATTGATTTATATGTTTTCTAGTATACAATTACTTACATGTTTGTTCACGGAAGGCTGTCACCTCTATTTGAACAAATTATTTCCTAAAATTGCGAATTTTATTTCAAAATTAAGAAAAATTTATTGCAGAAGGACGATAAAGGTAATTATAGGGAGAATACATAAATAGAAATTCCACAAAAGTTTTGACACCTAATTGATATTTCAGAAGACTATGAACGAATATGTAAGTCATTGTACCAATTTATATCAACTTACTATAAAAAACGAATACCATAACACTGTCACTGTATCTGTTCCTAACGGATCGATAAACATGACAAAAGTTTGACAATATGCAAATTTAAAAATAATGTACTTTCGTCACTTTCATATTGCAGCAGAAGTTCTAAAAGATCGAATGAAATATATTGTTGTAACATTTCAATCGTCGTTGTAAAAGTGTACTAACCAGTCATTTGGACTGCTTTGGTAGTTCTAGTGCTAAATAGGATAGTCAGTGACGAAATTTTCCTCTGAAAAAATGTTCAGAAAGTTGTTCAATGAGCAGGAGAAATTTTGGATGTGTTTTTTGAAAAAGATGATAATTGTTTGATTTCACTGTCAGGTAATGTTACGCAGTCACGATAATAAGATTCAATCCGCAACGGCCATGACTAGCAAGTTCAGTGTGTCAATAACTACCGCCTGAATGGCTTTGTCTTCTTATGGATTCGCCTTGTTTACAATTTCACTGTCATCACAGCCACGCCCGCGTTACTTGTGGTGCTTCCACTCGACCCGAATCGCAGTTGAATTTTCTCTTCTTTAATCGAGCCCCATTGAGAATTCGCAGCTGGCTCTTCGGTATTCAAACGAATAACCGAAAGCTCGACGAGCTGTTTCCAATAAAAGTTAATTTTATCGAGTGTCGTTCTATTGAGAAACAGTTCAAGGTTACTTCTCGCGCTTTCTATTAACCAGTTGAATGTCGAAAACATTTACAAAGTTCGTACGTTTCTTCGACTCAAATTTCTGACAGGGAACACATACAAGTTATGACAAAACTTTAAAAACTCGCCTGGAAACGAATCAGGATAATCGTCTGACCAGTACTTTACCTTTCCACTTATCATAAATTCCTTAATGTTGGTACGATACTGCTGATGTTATTTTCAATTAAAAGAAATGCGATTTCTCAACAAAAGATCGTTTCAGTGATAGAGAAAAAATGGAGTATGTATAATCCACTGATAACAGTTTCAGAAACAAAATTTTACAAATGATCTACGTGTAAATAAGGGTTGAAGTTTGCACGACTTTACTTGTTTCACAGAATATTACGAAACGCAATTGTAGATCTTATTAAGTTAGGTTATGATCCTATTAAGTTAGGCACATATATAAGTTGGAACAGTGAATTTCCATGTCGGCTGAACCATATAAGTAAAGCCACATAAGTTGAAACTGTTCGAAAAAAGAGATTATATACTGGTATAAAAAAAGGGAAAAAGGTACGATTACTCTAAGTTGTACGAACAGCCGCATTATCGATGGAACGTCGGTGCTGCCACCTAACCGAGGGTTGAGACATCAACCGAAAGCAACCCCTGAGCACCAACTAGGTATAGGATAGACCTATCATCTTATAGGACTTCGTGTCTCATGTTCTGAAATACCGATAGTGTAAAAAGTCAGGGATTTTCTGCTGCCCTCTACGTTATGAGAACGGTAAATTTGTGAACTACGTTAAATCTATTCGAGCTCAACTAGTCTGGTTTTTTTTCGCGTACAAAAAAGTTATTGCGTTTAATATTGTTTTTATGAATATGTATATGTATTATTACGTCCATTTAAGTAAACTATTTTATTATTCCGTTGTTATTACAACAGTTTAACAGTGACAACAAACGCATGTATATTTTCAAATATCGGACTAACAGTACATTTTTATTCTATATTATTACATATATTGACATTTGTAATAATTATGGATGTTGCAGGGAAATCAATATTATTGACATTATTAACTAATTTGTTTAAGCGACATGTTCCTTTTAAAGATTTAGCTCTCCAGTATAAATCCCTAAGACCGTTATTTATTATTCATTTCATATCGTTAAATACGATTTTTCTCACATGATACCGATTTCTATTACAGTATCACAAAATAATTGCAAATATGAAACTTCTTTACCTCTCCTTGAACATTCTAATTTCATAGCCCTAAATTGGGTACCTGAAAGTATTTCATTGAATTTGTGTAAATGATTTTACTACTTCCTAAAAGATTCCGTGTGATATTTGATAGCCTAAAAAACAATGTGCCGATACAGAGTTTCGATTTATTTACGAAACTAATCTGACCAGTTGCTGCATTCTTTGACACTAATTTTCAAGAAAATAATACTTCTGTATTTCACTTAATTTGATAGACACGTAGCTGAATATTAACATACGGTCATTATTTAATTACTCGCAATAAATAAAATTTTCGTAAGTAAATAACGTGTAAGTAAATTCATATGTCAAAATTTACCAATTGCCAGAAAGTAATTGTTCGTGCGTATTAAGACTCTTACAATACGTCCATTAACGATCCATTTAGAATAAATTGTCTTGTAGTTAAGTGAAAAAATATATACTTTTCCGTTTCATGTTTCATGACTGTCATATTTATCCCTCAACTTTAAACTGAAGCATCGGATATTTTTTTTATTCCCGTCAAATCATATAGATACACGCAATATGAATGGAATATTATAACACTTCATTGGGCTAATAATACTGAATTCATGCTTTATCGGTAACGTCGGGTATTGACACTAGAATGGTAAGGGGGCTTCTGACGCCCTCGAAACATGGGACAGAAAATTACATAGCATGTTAGGTCTATTCTTATATCTCGTCTGTGCCCTGAGCAACAAAGCTCCGATACCGACGGACACGTAGTAAGGGAGGGAAAAACCGACCTGTGATAAGCAGCGTATCCAAGACGCCGACAAAGGTCCTTTGTTACCGTTTCCCGTTGTAGATGGCACCGTGTGCAAACCTGTAGCCAGCTTCTGAAAAAATAAACGTCACGGTAACCGCGCACTCGGCGACTGCAGAGTTTCCCACCTGTTCGATAGAGAACTGCACGCGTGTATTAGTCACATGGATAACACGTAGAATCGAATTGCAGTCCATAGAATGATGCAGAAGCCGATAATATCATAATACATTTTTAATCAATTCCTTGGAATGTAACAATTAAATTATTTAAGTATATTCTATGGATTGAAATGAGAAAAAATGTTCTATAAAAACGGTGGTCTGAGAGCGAGCTGGTACGAAGTTTTAATGAAAATGTTGATTGTATATTTGTATATTTTTATCTGGTTTTAATATATTTCAGCATACACGA